TTACTAAGAAATGGGGGGAAGACTAATCGTGCTTGTCTTACCCCCCAGAAAACCAACCCCAGGCACATTTTTAAATCATGCGATACATATTTCTAGAGACATTTGTAAGTGGGGCAAATCTGTTTAAATTTTTTTGCTGTTGGCTGGTCATGAAAGAGGAAAAAAATTAAAAATGAGTGTCAGGGATGAGGGTCTCCACCGTCTGCTAGAATTGGTCTCCTTCACCTTGAACCTTCATTGCCAGAGGAGTTGATATCCTACGGTGACCCCACCCCCTTACCTTGGGCCTCTTCTATTGCAAATTCGGTCCCTGTGTCCCTCAGTTCTTCCCCAGCTCCTCCCCCGCCACCTTCACTTACTCCAGGCTGCTAGCCCCATGCACTCACCTGTCCAGAATCACAAATTTAGTGGCTCAAAAGACCACACATTTACTATTTTATAGTTCTGGAGTTCACAAGTCAAAAATCAGCATCACTGGGCTAAAGTCAAGGTGTTGGCAGGACTGTGTTTCCTGTGGAGGCTCCAGGGCAGAGTCCATTTCCTCGTCTTTTCCAGCTCCTAGAGGCCACCTGTATTCTTTGGCTCATAGCATCTTGTCACAGCTTCAAAGCCCGCAGCGCAGCCTCTGCAAATCTCTCTGACTCCAGCTCTCTGCTTCCGGCATCCTTACATTTTTCTTCTCTCACTTGGACCCTCCTGTCCCCGTCTTACAAGGACCCCTGTGATTACGTTGGGCCACCGGTTAGTCCAAGATAACCTCAACATCTCAAAATCTTCAATTTAATCACACCTGCCAAGTCCCTTTTGCCTTGGAAACTAACAAATTTGTAAGTCCCAGGGAGTAGGACCAGGGCCTCTGTGGGACCCATTATTCTGCCTCACACACAATTGATGCTTGCACAGATAACTCCAGGAGAAGGGTTTTTATTCTTCTACTTGGAATCTATTTTCAGATGGTGACAAATCCAGCTGATTCGTAAAGTTCCAGCCCAAACAGTCAAACAGTCCTTGTCCTTCTGCACCCCAATCCCCCCATTGTGTAGCTTGGTAACTTCCAAAGTGTTTTGCCTTTGCTGCTTTACCAGCACTGCTCTTTCCAGCTTCTAAGTTTTAACCTGCTACTCTCCTACCCCAATTATAAACAATTGTCCTGTTTTTTTCTTTTCTTTTCTGTTTTTTTTTTCTCTCTCTCAAATTTTGGGCACGAAACTCATTAAGAATTTAGCTACTTGGATGAAATAGGAGTGAGAATTTTTTTAAAAAAAATATATAAACCTGGGTGACAGACAGGTGCCTAATTAAAATCTGTCAAAGTATCCATATTTGCCACTATGTTTAGAAGTAGCTTCTTTTTCTTTTCTGTGAGTAATAAAACAGAGGAACTTTAATTTTTCACCACGATGAAGGACAAAATAATACCCTTGCAAAGGTAAAAGCTGACTTGATGTTTTGATATTTCTCAAATAGATTCGAATCTTGGAATTTGCAGTCTAAGGTCTAAATCCAGGTCAATTCCAACAAAGTTCAGTGACACATGCATTTTTTTTAACCTCGTAAATAATGTCTATATGGTAAAATGTAAACTATAAATACCTATATAAATCAGAGAAAGGGACTATTTGGTGTGAGATATATTTCCTTTTATAAAATACCTTACGTATTTCTAGAAGTGAAATGCTAGGCCTTCCAGAAAGCAGCAGAGTCCAAATGAACAGACTGGTTATTTGTATATTGGGGGAGAGAAGGGAATTTCCTCTGAGAGTTGCTTTTCCCAAATTGACTATTGACATCAAATTATCTTCAGTTTGTAAATTACTATTGACTATGTTTTTCCTTCAAATGTCAATTTTTTCTTATCACAAATTGCTTCAAAGTTTTCCTTGGAATTTGAATTAATCCAAGCTGAAGTGTTATCAGAACATTTGGCAGAAATTCAGGAAATGTCCCTGAAGCATTTTAGTATGTGGAAATCCTTGAGGGCTGCAGTAAGATAGAGTATTTGGTGGCACATAGACAAAATATTTCTGCAATTTTTCAGCTATCTCAAAACAGTATCTGGAATCTGCAGGAATTGAAATGGGTCCATTTTTAAAGCAGATACAATTCTTATGTGGCTTGCCTTATTTTGCATTGCCCCCAAAAACCCACATTCCATAGACCCTAAACCAAACCCAGACAGGAATGGAATGTTACTTTATTCCTTCCAAAGCAGATTGTCAAAGATCACATCATTGGTCTGGAAACCAAAATAGGAAGAAGAATGATCCAAAAGAAAATTACCATATGATCTCAGTTAGCACGTACTTGAGAAAATAACCCAGGTCTCTGAGGTGCTATTATTCCTGTTAAGCTGTTTTGCTAACTAATTATTATTTGGACTCAGGGAAGATACGACAAAAAATAGGAGGAGGTGCAACCTCTGCCACCCCTTCACTTTGCCCTGGATCCAGAGAAGAGGTAAAAACTAAGACACCATTTAAAAAATTGCCAATGCTATGTTTCATTCACTCATTCAGTCAGTCATTCAGATTTGAGAAGGGATATGAAGTAGCTCTTTTCAAGTATTTGAAAAGAAAAGAGTTAGATCCCTGTATTCACCCTTTACTGTGGCAGATAAATTCTAAAGGAATGAAAGATTTACACAAAGCCAACAATAAAAACCCAAAAGGATGAGTATTTTTATTATGGTGAGATAGGAAAGGACTCCTAAGCATAACATAGAACCAAGAAGTCCTCAAAGAAAAGAACAACAGCTTTGATCACATGAAAATCTAAACTGTCTATATGGAAAAATATGCCCTGAACAAAATTAAAGGACAAATGAAAAGTGGGAAGAAAATATTAACATATATAGCAGATCAAAGTGTTTAGATTTCTAATGCACACAAAAAAAGAAGAATAAAGAAAAACCCAAGCAGACAAGAAACACTAATAAGTAATAAACTTGCTAATTTATAAGTAAACATGTAAATTAAAACACCAATCTTATCGGTATAGATATAGACATACAAATACACACATACTTTTTTTGCAAATTAGAGTTGACAAGGTTGCATGTCTGATGTGAGTGTGGGAGAAAGCCTCACCTGTGTGAGTACTAATTCTCATAGCCTTTTTGGAGGGAAATTTTATAATCACTGAGACGTGGCAATGTGCTCTCCCTTCTGCCTGACAATTCTACCAATAGATGAGGAATTCTCACCATCACGCCAGGGGCTCAATCTCTTCATCTTTATTGTCCCTGCAATGCCAAGAAACTACATCTAGGGTGAAGCATCAGTCTGGTTTGTGGTTGCGAGGCAGCTCTCTCTGCCTTTGGGTCTCCACAGCTGGAATAAATTTTGGGTCTCCACAGCTGGAATAGATTTTTGGGGACAAGCCCATCCAGGGTGATGCTCAGGCTGTCTGGTTTTTTTCCTCAGTTGTCAGGTTTCCATGGAGATATGGGATGAAACTTGGGGTGGAAAAACATTCCCCCATGTGCTGGAGTTGGGCATGTCCTCCCTACCTCTACGGATGGGGCAGGGGCCCCAGGAAGCTTAGCAGTGCCCAGGAAAGCCACGCTACCAGGTCTGAGTGGTTCCATTCATGCCAAGATGTCACTGTGTGACTTTGTAAATAATGGGCTATATGGACCACTAAGTGCCAGGTGAATGTAGAGGCTATCTTCAGAGGCTATCTACTCTTACTCTAATGAATGAGGTAATTAACCTTAGTGCTTTATTTTGCTCCTATGGATTAGAATTTGCCGAAATTCTATATTTGTAGTACAGATGTTAGTTACCCCTACAGTGGTAATCATATCATAGCATATAAATGTACCAAACCAACACATTGTACACCTTTAACATATACAATGTTATATGTCAGTTATATCTCAATTAAGAAAAGCTACAATGAGAATCAAAAAAATTCTATGTTCCCTTGGGATAATAACTTGTGTGTGTTCTATCCCAGAGAAGACAACACTAGCCAAGAATTTTCAGGAGACTAAATGCCATAAATCCCATAAACTCTCCCCTCCCCTCCTTCCCCCCTTGTCCAGTTCAGGCACACTTAGAAAACATCTAAGTGTCATAGTTTGCCATTACCTGAATCAGAAGTCCCTTTCTTAAGATTTATGTTCCTTTCTGATTATTAACCTAAGGGAGATGCAAACAGCCATTATTCATCAGTCATGTACATACATACAGATGGAAATCTTTACCGACCTACCCCCTGAGCTGACTCCCGAGGGCCAACCATTCTAGGCAATGGAGAGGTTAGGAGGTGTACTCAGATTGCACTGCTAAACCCATGGGCAGGAATTTGGTGACCGCAGAGGAGCTTGGGAGCATTTAGGTAACATATTTAAGCATTTAAAAAATAGACCAAGGCAAAATAATACTTTTAAGTGAGAGGAAATAATTTTAGATGGCTTACATTCTCCATTTGAATTGAACTGGCTGCAGCTAATTCACTTTTTAACTCAGTTTAAATACTGCTCATTCCCTCTTTTTCGACCCCGACTTTGCTCGCCCCTCCTCCCCACCCTCCAATCAGTGTTGCTTCGATTTCCTCTGTTAGGTCACATCATGACGTTGACTACAGATAAGAGTTATATTAGTATTGCACTGCTCTCTCTTCTGCCCCAGAATCATTATAATTCTGTTTGTACTAGTGATTACTCCTATGCTTTTGTAGCTTCTTGCCAGGGCCTCTGCTGACTCACGAGGTCCCTTTCTGCAAATTAAATAAGACCAGTGCCCCCCGCTGGGCACCACGGTGGACGATGCTTGCCCTCAGCCAGGTGCCCCTGTGCAGTGCAGAGCCTTGTAATGATCCGTGGTCACCCTGCTTCCTCCTCCTCCTCCCACTCTAAAGCATAAGGAAAAGGAATGGTTACGAGGGAGGATGTATGTGGTGCTGGAAGTAAGAATTTATGGAAGTCAAATGCAATATCAGGCCAAACCTGGCCACAACAGCTGCACTGACTCTTTGTACATCATCCTTCTTTTTAGGTATTTCCTATTAAAATGGGACTCTTTTGCTCTCAGAGTTTTGGCAGAGGCCCCAAGTCTGAGAACCAAATATTCCAGCATCTCCGAGAGGAGCATTGGACCACTTATGCAGGATATGCTTAAAGGCTACGACTTCTGTTCTACTGGCATTCCTCCATGGACCACCTCCAAGCTATATAATAGAAGTGACAAGAGACACCAGGATTGAGAGTATCTTTGGAGAGAGCAGTCAGCAGGGAGATGCAGGGTCGGGGAGGGATTATTTCTGCCATTTCAGAGCAACGAAGGGGATCTGTGAGAGAAGCTGAGAGAAGTTGTCATGTGTCCCTGGAGTGTGAGGGCACATCTAAAAAGTCTGCAGAGGACAGATGGTCTCTAGCTTGCTGCTGTGGAGCCATGGAGTAGAGAGTTCTCGGTCATGAGCTATGCTTCCAGAGTTTGGTGGGGCAAGGGTTTTCCCTTGGTCAGATAAGGACCTGCGGAAGGGCCCAGACTGGGCCATTTTATAAGGGACTCTATCCAAGAAGACTGCCTGGAGGGGAGGGGAAAGGTGACCCCCAACAGATGGGTGTGACTTACCTGATCCACAGGACAGGGGTCCAGCTGCTGTCTTTGGGAGACACTTACCTATGGGAAATCCTCGAAGAATCCATAAGATGCTTCAGAAAAGAGAATTGGCACTTAATTTCTGTACCCTGAAAGGACAGTGATGCCACATGATAACTCACCAATCAAATAAGGCCTTTCGTCCGCTTTCCCTTTCCTCCCTCCCAGGCTCCAACCCCGGAAGGGGCAAAACCCGGATGTCAGACTGGTTGATGAGGTGGAACAAGCAAGAAGGGAGTACCGGCTTTCCCTCCGGTGACCGGTAATGTCCTGGAGTGGGGTGGGCCAGAGTGGGGAGATGGGAGAAACTTAAAATTCTAAAATAAATTTTAGAGTTTTGATCATATACTGGGTTCTGAACGCAATCAATGTGTTTGTTGATGTTGTTGTCGTTGTAGTTGTTTTTTATTCAAAAGTGACTGGAAAAGCCATGACATGTTCTGGAGGTTTTATGCAGGCGCAGGGAAGTACGAATTGAGAGGACTGGTTTCAGGGGTTGGTGGTGGGGAAGAACAGTGTTGCTCTGTTTCTACCTTTTCCAGTTTCACTTTTTTTGACTGAGCCAGTTCTGTGTTAAATACAACGTTGTCATCTGCAGAGAAGCATGTGTGTGTTCCGGATCCCATCCCTTCTCGTCTCCTCAAGGACATCGTCAACCCTGCAGTTGCCTCCTTCCTCTTGTGCATCACTGACTTCTTCGTCTCCACTGGACCTTTCTGACCAGCCTATAAAAATGACTTACTGTAACCTGTCTTTAAAACAACAACAACAATAACAAAACAACAACAACAACAACAACAACAACAACAAAAAGACCCCATATCGCCTTTAGCGATTGCTCTGTTTGGTTTCCCTTCACTGAGAAATTCTTTGAAAGAGTTAGCTAACTTCATGGTCTGTGTTTCATCTTTCATTCTCTCCTCAGCCCGCTCCAAAGGGCTTTCATCTCCGCCACACTACTGAAGAAACAGGCTCTTAACAGGATCAGCAGTGCTCTTTCTGCATCGTGTTTGGTTTCTCAGCGGGCACTTGATGTGGTTGACCAGTTCCTCCTTCTTGAGCCATGGTCTTCTCTAGGCTTCTGTGTCTCATACTGATCTGGGCTCTTCCTGCTCTACTGGCCGTTCCTCATTTGCTTAGCGGTCCCTCCTCCACCAGCCCCTGTCCTTGGCTTCTGGTCTCTGTCCAGATTCCCTTCCTAAACCACGTTAATCCAGTCCTGGGGCTTTATCGGACAGTGCAGCTATACAACATTTCCATCCCTGCAGAAAGTTTTAATTGCCAATAGTGGTCTAAAGGAAGAAAACAAAATATTATTAAGTGAAGCAGACTTGAATCAGTCTCAAAAAGGGAAAACACAGGAGCACGCGTGCGTGCATGAAAAGTCGAAAGATACAGGGCGCTTCAGGAGCAGCCCAACTGAGGGCTTACCCAACGTCCCCAGGGTCCCTCTCTCTGCTCCCCATTCTCTGAGCTGGCTCCATTTCCCCCTCTTCCGGTTGACTCCTCGTTCCCACACCAGCAGCATTAAGCGCATAGTGTCATAAAACTCAGGTAAGCTCGTGTCCTTCAAAAGCAATATATTGATTTCTGCTTAGTAATATTTCCTTTCTTCTATTTTCTTTGGATTTGGCTTGTCTGAAGTGGAAATTAGTTTTATTGTCTTCCAATCTCCACCCCCACCCCCACCATATATGCTATGCATTTGGAACTACAAATTTCCGTTTTGGCATCACTATTTAAAGTCACTTTCATTATCATTCATGTTTGTAGTATTTTCTAATTTTATTTGATGTTTTGATCCTTGAGTTATTTAGAAGTGTATTACATAAATTCCAAATATTTGGGGGAATTTCTAGTTATGATTTTCTAGTGTTGATTTACATTTTAATGCCATTGTAGTCAGAGAACGTATTCCATATGTTTTGAATCATTTGAAAATAAAAATTAAGACTTCCCTTAAGGCCAGCATAGAGTGTATTTTGTTAATGTCTATCAACATAATGACATCAGCTCTCTTTTGGTTGGTGTCTACATGATGTGTTTTTTACCATCCTTTCACTCTTGCCCTCTTTGCGTCTCTATATTTAAAGTGATTCTGTTATTGACAGCATATAGTTGGGGTTTTAAAAAAATTTATTCAACCTAATAATCTTTTAAAAATGTTTTTGATTGGCTCCTTTATAGTAAACGGAATAAATGATATAGCTGGGTTTAAGTTCGCCACCTTACTATTTATTTTTTATTTGTTTATCTGTTCTTTGTTAGTTTAGTCTTCCTTTTGGATTAATCAAGTGTATTTTATTATTTCATTTCTCTAGTCCATTAATAGATGGTTCATTATACATTGCAGTTTTCTTTTACAATTTCTTTAGAGATTATAATATGTATCCTTGATTTAATACTCCATGCTAACTTTTGTGCTGTTGTTGTCATATTTTATATATATGTTATAAATTCCATAAGACACTGTTATTAATAATTACATGAAACAGTCAGTAGTATTTTATGTTTACCTACATATTTATACTTTCTGATGCTCTTCATTACTTCCTTCATTTCCAGATGATCATTTCCTCTCATTGTTTTGGTAGTGTTTGTCTTCTGGTCAAAACTCTCATTTTAATTTTTCTGAAAACTTCTTTATTTTGCTTTTGTTTTTCAATGATTTTTTTCCCATTAAAAATTACTTTATTACAGAGAAACCCAAGACGCTAATTCGAAAAAATATATGCACCCCTATGTTTATTGCAGTGCTATTTACAATAGCCAAGACTTGGAAACAACCGAAATGCCCATCGGTAGAAGACTGGATTAAGAAACCGTGGTACATTTATACAATGGAGTATTACTCCACCATAAAGAAGAATGAAATCGTACTATTTGGGACGATATGGATGGACCTAGAGACTATTATGTTAAGTGAAATAAGTCAGTCGGAGAAAGACAAATACCATATGATTTCACTTATATG